ATATATATATATATATATGTACATATTGATATACACGCATATATACATATAAATAATGAAATTTTCCTACTTTACGTGTTCGATCACGCGCGTTTCCCTTACCTTTCGCATGCAAGAGCTCAAAAATATTGTATACATGTATGTGTATACCTATATATATGTATACATATATATAAAATACATATACACATATACATGTACAAAGTACATGTGTACACGTATGTAAATATGTACATATATACATAAGTACGTGTATATACTTATATATATGTATACTTGGTACTTGAATGACCCGTCCTCACTGGTTGTGCGGGTCCCAGCATTATCACCATTTTTCGGAAATTTGCTGGTTAAGCCATTATGGTTCTATGGAGTCCCTAAATCAACCTGGCCGAAGTCTGCCCCAGGTCTTCACCACCACGGGCAGTCGCAACCCTTGTGGATCAGAGGAAGATTTGCCACCATGAGACTTTGGTGCCAGGACGGTGGTTCATCCTGGCATTGGTTTACTCTTAGCTAGGTTTCCTGATGGAAATGCCGGACTCCTCAGCTCGGGAGACCCTGCTTAGGGATGAATCCGCCGCTGTATATCGCAGTCCGACATCCAGGAACACCTCCCAGCCATGACGAGGAGGTAAACCGTTGGGAGCTAATACATACTTAGGCGTACATATGTAGACACACATATTATATATATGCACATATATGTATATAAATATATGTATACATATAGTCCCAGCAACCTATCCCCTTGACAATCTTCATAAATCTTAACTCTTTTTATTTACTGCCTTTTTCTTCTTAATGGTAGGGTATGTTGTGAAATATAACTCGTCTGAAGTGCTGAGATATTTGCAAAACTCCGGACCACAGGTGTATGCAGTGGGGAACGAACACGCGCTGTTGTCCTTACCGGGGAGCAGCGCACTTCACCACTACACCATCCGGGTCCTTCGCTTTGCATGTATCTCAGCTAGTTCTATCGATCTTTTTGCCATCAGCAATCACCCGTCAACGGGATTGATCTGGGGAGCCAATATCGGCATTGAACCCAGTTAAACTGAGGCCTCGTTATAATCACAATCNTTTTATTTACTGCCTTTTTCTTCTTAATGGTAGGGTATGTTGTGAAATATAACTCGTCTGAAGTGCTGAGATATTTGCAAAACTCCGGACCACAGGTGTATGCAGTGGGGAACGAACACGCGCTGTTGTCCTTACCGGGGAGCAGCGCACTTCACCACTACACCATCCGGGTCCTTCGCTTTGCATGTATCTCAGCTAGAAAAAGGCAGTAAATAAAAAGAGTGATTAAAAAAGATTGTGATTATAACGAGGCCTCAGTTTAACTGGGTTCAATGCCGATATTGGCTCCCCAGATCAATCCCGTTGACGGGTGATTGCTGATGGCAAAAAGATCGATAGAACTAGCTGAGATACATGCAAAGCGAAGGACCCGGATGGTGTAGTGGTGAAGTGCGCTGCTCCCCGGTAAGGACAACAGCGCGTGTTCGTTCCCCACTGCATACACCTGTGGTCCGGAGTTTTGCAAATATCTCAGCACTTCATACGAATCTTGATAAAATAAATGACTTTGATATTTACAGAATGACTTCAAATGATGATCGGATTTCCGCTGCACATCAAAACTTCCTTTGTTCATAAGCAAACGAGAATGATAGCACCAGTAGGATTACTGTACGCAAAGTTGGGTAGATAATCTAAGGAAATATGTACCCCTTCCAAATATTTGCGTGTGAATCAGGAGACATCATATATCGAGAATATGCAATTGTATGCACACCATAATCGAGAAAACTTACGAAGTTGATTTCGAAGCAATTCGTTTTCTCACCGAACGTTTATGAGCGCTCGATGTTGATAGCTTCGCCGATGTTCTCCTTCGCTGAAAGTTAAATCGCATACCCTCTACCATAATATCAACAATTTTGGATTATTACATAAATTTTCGTTAAGAATTAGTCTTGAACGAGGAGAAAGTAAAACCTAAGCCAGAGATCGTCGTGGCAATAACGCACACGCTTTGGGGTTATTTTCCTCGAAGTCTCGTAGTCAAAGATGGCCTTTGTTGCAAGTGACAAGTTCTCAGCTGGTTCCCAGGAATCATCAGCCTCAGTGAATCCTTTCCAGCGCACCTAAAAGTGGATTCCAGCTAGTTCCGATTTTGAACACGAAATTTGAAAAGCTAACGAATTACAACCATTAAGAAATATTTAAGTACGACTGAAATGCAATCCAAAGGACAGCACTAATACAAAATGCTTACTAAGTAGAACAATCCCTCTTTGGTGTTCTCATGATCAACAATTCTTTCGACTTCGTAGAACTCTTCAGACAAATCTTCTCCTGCTGGACGTTCCACATCAGTAGGCCCTGCAGAAGCAATAACAGCATATTCACGACCCATTTTAGCAAAACTTCTACCACCATCAACATAAGCAAGACGGTAGAGCAATTTTATTACCATTGGTTATTTCCGTAATTCTACATCTAATTCTGAAGTTAATAGCCAAATTTCGACAGTGATCAAAAGACAAGGTCACTGCACCTCTTTCAAATGCCTACGTGCAAACATGAAGAAAAAGGAAACTTCAACTTAAGATTAACGAACCAGCTGCTCCACTAACGGGTTTTGTTGACTGAGACATATCAGCCGAGTTTCCTTCCTTATCTGACTCGATACTGCTAAACGATTCGGAGTGCTGAAATTAGTTCTGCACCTGTACATGTGCACACATAAACATAGTTCTAACTACCAGAAAGGTAATATTGTTTATTCTTCACTGAGCTATCGAACACCAGCAGTTGATATCTTACTACAATAAAGAACTTTCTGCGAAAAAAGCAAGTTATGGCAACGGAGGCAATGTAGATCAGGCATGGCTCGAGTTAAGCTCAACCATGGCTTGGGTTTTTTTTGTATGTTGTTAGATTGCGATAAATAAAGCAAATGCAAGACCATTGGTATATGTAAAACAGCTTGAACATGAAACAAGTAATCAGTGGGAACAAAGCCTCACCATATTTCAACCAGAAAGCGATTTTCGACCGACCGATCGACTAAAATCCTTGAATCTCTGTAAACGCCCTCTACAAGTGAATGATACTGATCGACAACTGAAAGAAAGATCATAATAAAATAAGGAAGCTCCAGGTAAGACGGCAAAACTTCCACTAAAGGATATACGAATACACGCGGCTGAAAAAAAGTAAGATGTATGAAGCTATAGGATCACCCAGAATAAGAAAGGCTCATCGATTTTATTGAATTACAACCGTAAGATAATGAAAAAGTAAAGGAGGGATGTTCCATGCATTCCACTCCATTTATGGCATTGTTAGAGCTAAACGAGCGCATATCTAGCCTATGCAATACTCCCTATGGACTACCGATATGTCTAGTCAGCGCTGCCACCCTCCTAGACAGGTCTCATATAAATTTGCCGACCCCTGAGGGGGCAAGGCTTGGTACGCCGGGGGCGGGATCGGTCATATGCATATTGCAGGGAGTCTCTAACCACTGCTCTGCACGCGCCACTCTTATTAGCGAAAATAGAAACAGTTCGGACTGCATAAGAGCGAATTCTCCGGAAAACAGAACAGATCCCAAGACCCACACAAATCACAAGTGACGGCGTTTTGAATGAGCCGCGCGCGTCGCCCATCCCCATAGGGTGGCGAGCGGCTGCGTCGCGTTTCTGTTTCGGGTTCAGTCACAAGTTGTACTATATAGTTACTCAAGAACTGAGAGGACTTGAACTTCGATTTGAATTCCTTTTCGTTTTAAACGTTTTAAACTAACTCACTAACTTGCAATTACAACAGTTACATGTCGAGAATCCTCTCAACGGTATAACGCCTCACTGTGGCCGGGAGGTGTTGAACTACGATGTACAGCGGGGATTCATCCCATGGCAGGGTCTCCCAGGCTGAGAAAGAGTCCGGCTCTTTCATGAGCAAGCCCAGCTAAGAGTAAACCGATGCCAGGATCGACCACCGTTCTGGTATCAAGCTCATCGCTTGGTGGCAAATCTCCCTCTGATCCTTAAAGGTGGTGAGTGACTGTGGCGGTAACGACCTGGGACAGTCTTTGGCTAGGCTGACCTCGGGACTCTATGGAAACACAATAGCTAAATCAGCAAAACTCCGGAAAGTGGAGATCATATTGGGACCTGCACAACTTGTGAGGACGGGCCGTCCAAGTATCCGGGTTAGTAAGAGGTGTTTTTTCATTGCTAAAAAGGGGTTCTTGTGAAATGTTAGCGAGACATTATGAAAATGTCACCTCTTAATGGACGATGACTGCTAAAAGAACTGTTTTAAATAAACTATCCACTTATTACAAGAAATGTGGGAAAACGTGCGCCAAAACAAGCCGTTGAAAATGACTCCTATAATGGTCATACCGGCCACTTTATCTCCTAAAAAATGACTCCTTTAGATGTAACGTCGTTGTGAATGTGTTAATAAGACAGGTTATCAACGATATGAAGAAGCAATGGATGATATGGCAGTTAAGATATGTGATCTTAAAATTCTCTCACCTCTTCAAACCATTATGGAATAGGCACCGCGAACATTGCTATTCCATGCATCAAAGAAAGTTTAGATGGGCAATTCGACGCTGAAGTTCACTTCACCTGAGACTGACATTCAAAGACCTACAGAGCAACTCAGCTCTTCTACGGAAGCACTTTGTCGCCATTTCCTGGACATACAAAAATCGACATTCACACTCATTGAACAGCTGGTTTGATAATTATTCTATCACGGTTTCAATAAATCCGCTACTATAAGAGCTCGACTCTATCTGATACATCGCTTGTAGCTCTATTTCTGGTTCACAGGAAAGATAGTTAGCCGATTGTTGTTCTGATGACCATTAGATTCATAGAAATAGTGTCATGAAAAGCTAAAAGCTCTTGATGTTCTCGGCGTTGATCAATTGCTGAGGGATGCGCCATGCATTCGACTTCATTAACATCGTTTGGAGGTGATTGAACGCATATTGCATAATCGTAGTCCACGGTGGTGGTCTTTTTCGAGCATGGTAGCGCTTGCGAATCTCATACCGTGATCTGTAAACCAACTGCAGTTGTGGGTACAGCTGACCAACTTTGTTTACGAACACGTCCGCCCAACATGTAGGTAGTCGTCGTAGTGGACGTTTTCACTCTCTTGGAGTCCATTCTACTGTTCTTTTCGTCCATCTGTCGTCTGTTCTTATTATGTGACCGGCCTATCTATGTTTCGCTGTCGATGTGTATTCTGCTGGATCTCGAAGATGTGACAAATTTCGAAGGTTAGAGCTTCGCATTCCAGCTACATATTGAGAGTGCCGGTTATGTTTCCGAAGACGTCGCTCAAGCGCTCTATGAGTAGTACGAAGCATTCTTGGCGAGATTGAAGTTTCAACCCACGTCTCTGCAGCATAACAGAGCGCTGGGAGAACCGTAGAATCAAACAGTTGAGCGCGGATTTTCGGGTCCTTCAGTTGGTCGGTGGCTTCTTTGAGAGGCTCATATGCGGTTCAAGCCGCTCTCCTTCCCTTCTTCTATCTAGTTTCTCTCTAATGTTGTTTTGCATGTTCATTGACCCCCCAAGGTGTACGTACGTGGTGGGCTCTGCAATGAGAGAGCCATCCAATTCAATTTTTTCGCCTTCGCATCATGGGTTTTTCATGAACTGGATCTTCTTTCGATTTATGCGAAGTCCGATCTTTTTACCCGCTTCGTTGAGCTCGTTGATCATCACCCCTGCTTCGCTAGTACCTCTTGAGCAGATGGCAATGGTGTCGGCAAAACAAAGGTTTGTTAGGAATTTTCCATCAATACGTATGCCTTTCTCATTCCAATCGAGTGACCTCATTATCCACTGCAGTGTGGCACTGAACAGCTTTGGCGATATTGTGTCGCCTTGTCGAACCCCTTTTCCTATAGGTATTGTAAGAGATCGATGGAAAAGCTGTATTTTCGTAGTGAGGTTCCGATAACAGTCGGACAGAGTCCTTATACAGGACGGGTCCACTCCTTGGTCGACGAGCGTTGATAGGATTACATTCGTTTCGACACTGTCAAACGCTTTCTGATAGTCGACAAAGCGCGTGTTCGTTCCCCACCGCATACACCTGCAGTCCGGAGTTTTGCAAATATCTCAGCATCATTGAAGTCGACAAAGGTTAAGACTTGAGGCAAGTGGTATTTCCGATAAGCTTCGTTGACTCTGGACATGGATTGGATGTGGTCCATGCAGCAAAATCCTTCTCGAAATCTTCCTTACTCGGCAGGTTGCGCCTCATCCAATGTCCTTGATATGCGCGAGAGGATAATCTTCGTGAAGAACTTGTAGAGTACACTTAACAAGCATATGGGGTGATAGTTACGAAAATCCCTTCGGTCTCCTTTCTTGGGCAGGATGATCGTGCGCGACGTCCTCCATTGGTCTGGGATTTTTTCCTATTGAAGTTAGCCTGTCATATGATCTGCGAGAAGTATGTGTAAATTTTGGCCTCCAGCTCTAAAGAAATCGGCAGTAATATTATCGTGTCCTGTAGCTGTGCTTCTTTTCATCCTTTCTAATGCAACTGGAACCTCCGACGGAAGAATTCCAAATGGTTTTTTGTCCATAATTTAGTACATAATCCATACATTTATTTATATTTATATGTATATGTGTATACGTGCACATATTATATACATATATCCAGTGGGTCGTCACGTAGCGCATCAGGAAGCAAGGTACTGATTCTACACCCTCCCAACCGCTCTCCTCCTGTTCACACTGGAACGCCTCAGCTCGGCTGTCTCCAAGATTAATATGAGAATTGACTCAACCAGCAGTCTACAATACTCATAAGGAAGACTAAATCCTTATTCAGCAATCGAAGCAACGCGCGAATTGTTCAAAGAGCTTTGTGGACGTTGGATGCGAGGAAAACTAAGAGAGCGCAAGAAGAACTGGGATTTGCACAGTAGATGTGATGACGAGTCATGTGGAACAAACAAAAATATGGGCATATAGTATATATATATATATATATATATACATTATATATATATATTACATTGTTGTCGTAAAGTTATATATATATATATATATATATATATATGTATATAACTTCACGATAACAATGAAGTGTTCCATCGATAGAAATCACGTTGGACTAGGAGATTTATGGTTTTCAAATGGTGTCGTAAAGTGAAATACGACTACATAATTATGCCTTATGCCTGAAGCCGCTTTTCAATCGACGTTTGAGTTTCGCGTGAAATCAAAGAATATCGAAACAAGAACGGGATTAATCTGAAACAGTGTTCAATTGTTCATTTACTGCCTATTATTTTTTCTCAGAAAGCCACTAAGCGAAGTGCAACCTTACTGGTGCTGAGATATTTGCAAAACTTACAC